ATTATCTTAAATCTTAAAACGAATATTACTTTGCATGATAGAAAGGCAACATGTGAAAAGAAGATATCAGAAAAACATTGCTTTTCAAACCTTAAGACTTAATAGAAAATTTGATATTTTGTGTATTAAAGCATTGTAATGTTTACTGATTATCTGCCAAATTTCATTAACATTTGCTTACTAATTTAAAAGTTATACCATGAAAAATATAACAGGCCCAGGTTGAAAGTCCTGAAGTTCCTGTTATCTCCTCACAGAAAAGCAGAAGTCTAAAAGATACCCTTGTTCATTTAAAAGTGAATTACACCCCACCAAAGAATGGTTGTCATCCATGTAACAAAGCTCGTTTCAAACCAGCAAGTTCATAAAAACTACTGACTCTTTCTGACAAGTACAACCAAAGAAACTTTAAAATATTCAAAGAAATCACTTGTGGAACACAAAACACCATTTTCCTTACACAGTGTAAAAAATACAATCACCAATATGTAAGACATACACAAACAACTCTTAGAGAACGTTTCATCAACCACAAATCTTTTATTAACACCAAAAATGATCTCCCTGTTGCTCAACACTTTTACCAGCCCGGTCATTCCACTAATGATATTACTCTCATCGACATCAAAACCAACTTTAAAATTAAAGCTGATAGAAAGATAAAAGAAGTTTATTGGATTGTTTATCTAAATACTGTTCAACCTACTGGAATAAACCTGGATCCTGGAATCAGTGATCTTCGATCATTGGTTTGTTCTCTGTCAGAGAACACTTAAGTATTGTTTTTCTTGACTGTTTCTAAAGCAAAAAATCTAACACCTTTTTACATAACACTCTCATTTTTGGTACAACACACACACTTATTAACAAAAGTACATTGAAAAAAATACAAAAACACTTCCTGGAAGCCCAGGTGACCTTCATGACGTCACTCAGTCCCTTTATACATCACTCATTTGATTACACCACTATTCCCAGTTTACCCCTGAAGAAGAAAGGTCCACCTTTCGAAAGCACTCAGGTTATAGGGTTTTATCATTTTATAAAATATAACTGTGTAATTCATGGAAAACACTGAAGATATAAAATGGACAACTTGGAGCAAAGAAGTATCACTGTCCACTCTTGGACTACTCTTTTACTAACGAAGTTGGAGAGACTTCCCCCATGACTGAAAGGGTGAGCATATTCAGTAGAGGTGGTTTGAAGAGGATGAGATTAAGAAACCAAAAATTAAATATATAAAATGCTATTAGGATAAAAACACACCAAGTTATATAGTACATGAGAAAGAAGAAATGGGTGGAAACATGGAAAAGATCACATGAGTACTAGAAAAAGATACAAGCACAAGAAGAAAAAAGATGGTAAAACAGTGTTGATTACAAACATGGGAAGTTAGAAAACAGTGACAAGAATAAGAGATATCAGCACAGATGTTCTCAAGATTGATTGATGGTAATGGATAAATTTTGTTTGTTATTAAGCACAAAGCTACGCTATGGGTTATCTGTGCTGTACCCACAAGTATCAAACCCCAATTTTTAGCAGTGTGAGCCTCAGACTTACTGCTGAGTCACTGGGGGATGGTAGTGAGTAAAAGAATAGGGGTAAATACATAGCAACAAAAAAGAAACAAGTTAATAAAGTCAATAAAAACGTTTGAATGGAAGGAGTAAACCAGTTAAAATGTAAAAGATCAAACACAAATAACATTACAACATGGAAATGAAAACTAAAAAAATAAATACTGGTTAAAAGAAGGAGATAAAATAATAGACTGTAAATGATGAAATAGAATAACTTGTGAATGGAGCAAAGGAGATGCTGAAGATGTTCAACAGATGTAAGAAGTATACATAAGACGCTATAAGATTAAAGGACTGGTGACATTCAAATTGTTTACTATATCAATCTTATAATGTTGTTAACAAATAAAATTGAACTTAAATTGTTTCAAATAAATATCAATTAATTCTTACATTAAATGACAAATTAAAAGAAATGAATTACTATTTTATTGTTTGTATGTATTAAAAATTCCCCCCTTTCTTAAGAGTAATAGAAATAAACTTGTATCATTACTAATTTTGCTTTTACAACTCATACCTGTAGAAGTTGAGACTGCATCAGTTGAGATCCTGGGTTTGAATCTTGAAAGGTTATAGCAGATTGGGTTAGCATTATATCTCCAACAGAATGTACTGATCTCACTTTGTTTTGTTTGGGCTCGAGTTTTAACTCTTTGATTGCTGACTTTCTTTCTCCTAAAATTCATCAAAGGTAAAAATGTTTTGCTGAGAAAAAAATAACCATGTTTAAAATATTTATACAAATAATTCCTGACATAAAGACTCTTTACATCATAAAAGTGTAAGTTTAAGGAAGAAAAAAAAAACAACCAATGTGGTTTAAATATAACATTAACCTTATGCCTACATACTCACCAATTTGACCAATCTTGTAAACACCATGTAATGAAACTATACATAATATAACCCTGAATGTACTAAGTGTATCTTCAAAAAGTTTGGCAAACTTTTAGTAAATATTACATGTCTGTTAGTAAATAAAAACAATCAGATTTTTGTAATCAAGTATTCTAAATAAAGATTTGTCTGTGAATTTACAAAACCTTTACTGAGTCAGCATGAGTAAAAGGTGATTTTCATGTTAAGAATACAAGTACTTCTTTTCATCTTAAAGTTTCAGATTTTATTTGTTTAATCTCATATTTTTGTTTGTTTGTTTTTTATAAAAAGTTATATTTTATCTGTCATTTTCTCTACCCTAAGACTAACTGTAGTGAAATTATAAATGTACAGTAAAATAAAAGGTAGAAAAATAAAACATGAAACAAACAGACAATTACAATCATACATCTTAACAGCTTCAGCTTCTAACCTTTTCACATCTGTTTCCTTTTAATTTTATGGTTTTATTACTGTACTTTAAGACCCTCTCTCTCTCTGCACAAAAAAGTAAAAATTACAGCAGAATGTTTCTAATACAATTTAGAGTAAACAAGCAATCAGGTAGGTTACAGTTATGCTCACGGAACTAAATTTTTGTCATATAACCTAAGAAGTTTCTAATTTTTACATTTTAGTTACTTTTGTCAAAAATTGTATATCAATAAATAAAAAATAGATACATAAAAACATGAAATTTAACACTTACTTTATTTAACATTCAAGTCATTTGCACTTGGATGCTATGCTTTGGTATGCCTACTTTTCAATCTATGTTGGTTATCCAAAAACTAATTCATGTAACTTTTAAGTAAGCATTTTAGAACACAAAAACTATCAGCTACTCAAATAGAATGTCCCAAAACTAATGTAATTTATCTGGCTTTTGAACTAAACTACAAATAGGTTAAAAAACTATTATTGCTTGGAGCTATGACTTTACTACACACTCATCAAGCTTTTCTTGCAAACTACCATTTTTGACCACCAAAACTAAACGAACAAACTTAAGATTCCCGTACATTACTATGCGCTCTTTGTATTGGTTATAAATATGTCCATCAGACAAGTAGATGTGATGAATAGTTTGGCTAAAATGCATGAAAAGGACTTCTCTAGTAGGTTTCACTTATCAATACATCATAAAATCCATGTGGAGAATTCACAGGGCAGATGTGTTACATGACTAAAACAAGTAAAGACTGAACATTTTTCTAAATATTTCTTTCTGAAATTAAAAATTAAAACTTACATAATATCAATATTTCAATTATAAACTACATATTAATGTTAAGTTTATTGAAAACATCAATAAAAAAAGCTGTTAAATTAAATTTTGAATTCAACTCTATAAAAATGTTGTGAAATGCACTCTTTGATCAACTAGTAAACACAGTGTTATTAATTTTTTTTTTCAAAAACGTTTTTTGGAACCAAAATAACAATTAACTGAAAGAAAGATCAAATCATATATTTCTTATATGATATATTCTTTGCTGCTCATCTTGTTTGGTTTTAAGACAGACAATAATGTACACCAAACAAAATAGGTAATTGAATTGACTGTGAAATAGGTGGCAACTGCCTGTTAAGAGAAATTTGTAAAAATATATTAGTGACTATACAATCTAATTATGTAGTTCAAGTGTAGTGGATGATGATTCAAAAGTCTTCTGCCTTTTATCTTTGTCTTGGACCAGAATACTCTGCCTAAACTATCTATCAAACTCTAATCTTAACTTCCCAAAGCTCTGTGGCCCGGGTGCTCGATTCACAATCTGAAGGTCACAGGTTCCAATCCCCATCCCACCAAATGTGCTCGCCCTTTCATGTGATGGTCAATCCCACTATCCGTTGGTAAAAAGAGTACCCCATGAGTTGGCGGTGGGGTGATGATAACTAGTTGCCTTCCCTCTAGTCTTTCACTGCTAAATTATGGACAGCTAGTGCAGATAGCCCTCGTGTAGCTTTGCACAAAAATTCAAAACAAAACAAAACCAAGACTCTATTTGACATATAGTAAAAAAATAGCATTTCCTTGTTTTTTAACAACTTGCATCAAAGTGAAGTTTTTTAATAAAAGTAAAGTTTAAAACTACAAATGCTTCTAATGTATTGGCACTTCAAATAAGTTAACAGTCTACAGGTGCCATTTGTGTTACCTAAATATGTTAACAGCATAGAAAACGTATGATGTACTGAATCAAAGAAGTTAACAATCTATAAGTGATATTAGTGTTATGTAAACATGTTAAAAGTGTAAAAAGATTTATAATGCACTAGCATTTAAAGAGGTTGACAGTCTACACACATATGCACATTTTAAAATCATCTGATATGGCATCTTGAACAAGTTCTAGATGTTTTCAGGTATTGCATCATGGTACAGATGATGAAGTTCTATTTGAAATATTCCAGTGTTCTTTATAATCTGAAACTCTCTAGTTGAAAGTTGGAATATACATCCTTCCTAAAAATATTTTTTTTCTTTAATATAGAACTGTCAACATTTTTGAAAAACACTCTGTATTAAATATCAAAATGTCTTCTATAAAAATAGTTTTCCAGCCTTTTTTTTTAACCCAATCATGTATTTCTCTCATTACCTGGAGAACAGCTTAGGTTAAGTTTTAATTGCTTCTGTCTTTGATTTTGTGAACGACGACTGAGGATGTGGTTGCTACAGAAGTCTGTACGAGCAGATCCACTGTTATTTTCCTGCTGGACACAACAAGCTGCCAGATCCACATCTAGCGTATAAAATAATTTAATGACCCTCGACACAATGTCTATTAAGCCCCGTATATACATCACTAAGTCAAATGTATTTAAGAAAATCAATAAACAACTAATAAAATATACAGTCACAATATACAACATCCAACTTCCAGAAACAGTATTACAAAATATAAAATAAAAGTCAGGTCTGAGGTTGTGTACATAAGTATTATAAACATCAAGGGTATCTGTCCACCTGATGGTTTAATGCAGTATAATTCTTAAAGGCTATGTTAATATTAGATGTTTGCCAATTCACCAACTGAGATTACTACCACAAACTATCAAATAGAAAAGTCTGTTATATGCCACAATCGAGTTCAAAATCTATAAAACTACATTGAATTGTTGCTAAGTTTTTCATTCAATTTGTCTTCTTTTTTTTTTAATCTAATGATTACCTCATTATTCATACCTTGCTGTACAGTTGTAAACAGTATAGACTGCATAAGAATGAACTTACTATACAACCCACTGTTATAAGATGTGAAATATTGTAACTATTACTTCTTCACTCAAGTTTTATTTACATTATGAATACACAAAACTGGACAGCCTTTCAGTATTGCCAACCCTGAAGTTTTATAATTAGGGTTCATTTCTCTCTTATTGGCAGAGCTCCATTCAAGCATTCTGAATCATGAAATACTCACTCACTGGTGGCCACGAGCACCGCAGATTAGCCGAAGAGGAAGATGACGAAAAATGTTGCATAAATGGTAACATTTTGAGATCATAACACTATGTACAATTCAGCTGCTATCACATAAATGTAGGCAATAGTTATATTCACTACTGTCATAACACAATTTCAATTTCTAAATTTATGCCAATGCTACCATGCATGCAAGATCTTGTACCTTTGGGATTAGTTTTTTTGAGTCTCAATCATAACCAGGTGCTATTGATATTTAGTTTATGCTGTTACTAAATAACTATTGTGAAGGAGTTATGTCATTTTGAGCCATAGCCTAAGCCTACTTACTGGTACACTTACAAATGTCTAGATCAATGCTTCTTAATTTGTGCTATGCAGACCCTCTTCGAGTGTCCGTAAAAAGGTTGCACATTATGGAAAGGAAGTGGCAGCATACAATATAGATCCCATTGTTGTCCACTGAGACAAAAAATATTCAACTGGTCCAAAAACAAAAAATGTTCGAGAACCACTGATCTAAATAATTATACATTTTTAAATGTATTCAGAATCTCATGTTTTAATGCATAGCATTAAACCAATATCAAGGCTGAGAAGTATCAAAATTGTTACCATGTTCAATAGTACTCCTCCTCCAACAGTTTCATTATCTGTCTGTGCATTAATAGTGTTAACAGTGTAAACGTAGCAAATAAAATCTCATAACAACAAAGTAAAATGATAAGTATGTTAGCTTGTACTGCCAAATGAAATTAGGACAAATTAGCCAAACATCCAAGACATTTTTTAACCCTATTACTAACTTTTTTTATTACTATAAGCTTTAGTTCTCATATAGATTTATTAACAACATTCAATATTTCTATTCATTTTATTGTACCAAATTGTCCTTAATAATCTGTTTTTAAAATATTTAAGTTTGGATCTATGTTGTTTGCTTACTTTTTTAATAAGTTCTTCAAAAGGAATGATTTCTTGTTCAGTACATTTTTAACACAAGCCATTACTGGATAGAAAAACTAAAGTTAAATGTTAGTTTAGCTACTTCTGTCTCAAAGAAATAAAAGATCAATCCAAAGTCTGTAGTATGGAACTTCAGACTTCAAACAGCTTACTTAGTGAAACAAATTTACACATAATAAATTATTAGTGTAAAGTTAAAAAAATAAACCTGATTGATCTTGGATAAACAAAAACTTTCATTTCTTAAAAAGAAATGTTAAATTTGTAGAGTTTCAGGCCAATGAAGACAATGTAATGTTCAAAATTTCCTTTGAAATTATGATTTTTCCTCTAAAATAAAACAGGAAAATTTTGTAAAATAATAAGTAGAATTACTTACTTTCCTTTAATGCTGTTTCACTAAATAAAACGTGATGTTTCAAAACTAAAATTAAGCAAAAATGTACATTTTATGTTTAATTATTAAAGTTTAGGAGTGTTAAGATACCATACCCCTGATGCTCATCATAACTTCCGAGAGTTGGTCTGGGATATTATTTATGGATGTTACATCAACGTGAGCAGTTGTCATGTTCACATCCACAAAGCTGCCTGACGTTACACCTGAGTTTATAACAACCTGGGCTGGACCAACAATTTGAGACACTCGTGTTACAGGTGTTTCAACCAACTCTGCTGTTAGCATAAACAAAGAGAAAATAATGTTTCAAGTTTTAAAGACAAAACCTGCAATGTTTAATTATCTAATTATTTCAAAGCATTTTGCAGTTAACTATATTCAATAGGGCTCTTGGATTAATTTTCATAAATACTGATAGTCACATCTACCATGCCTAATAACACATTGTGAAGAAGACTACGTTACTGATTCTACAAAAAAAAAAAAAATGATAATACAAGATAGTAGATTTTATTAACTTTAAGTTTCTTTTGTATAAATTGTCTGGCTTATGATTGGTATAAACACAAGTCTCCTCAGTAGAAGCCTATAATAACTTCTCCATCTGAACTAGTTAAAACACAAAAGGTTTTTATAATTTATTTTGTTTCATTATGGTAACATTTTGTTATCCCAGTTTCTATTGTTTGGTGGGTTCATTTTGATTATCTGGTAAAAATAATGTAAAGTCTAAACCACTTAATGAAAGAAATAGCTCACAAACAAAACTAAACAGTTATTTACTATTTCAGTAATTTGTTAACAACACAAAATTTATAGAACTGAACTGACACAGACTCAATAACCAATGAAAAACTTACTACTAAATCACTACTATAACTATCATTTTTATGTTATTCAAAAGCCTCCCTAGCTTTCCAGGAATTTCGAGACATCACATGTTGACACCCCAGGAACTTCGTAGGCATTAAAACATCATACTAAAACTACCTCTAGCAAAACTTACAAAATGTTTAAATTAAAATGTTAAAACATAGTACAGAACAGCATCATGTGTTGCCTTTTGGGTCATATGAAATTAATTAGTTGGACTTCAATGTTTTTATAACTAAAGATGAACCTCTCTCTTTTATTGGTGATAAGAATATTGTTCATAAGCATATAACCAAGGGTTAAGTTACACAACCAATGTTCACCCTAGTTGAATGGTCAGTAAATGAGTATCTTTCTCAAGTGACTTTGGTAATTAGTTGCCTAGTAACCTGGTAAGTAACAAAATGTGGTCATTTGGTAATTTAAAAAAAACTTTTCCATCAAGAGCTAACTTATTTTTATTTTATCTTAGTCATACTTAAATAAATATATAATTTACTTTAAATTTACATTCTAGTATTCTTATTAAGGTTGCAGATCAAACACAGTGTAATCCAACTTACCAAACATTTCTGGTAACAATAACTGCGATGAATTGAAGACCACCTTATCAGAAGTTAGCAACTGTGTTTCCTGTATTCCACTTGTAGCAGCTACTTCAAAAAAAAAAACAAAAAAAACTGAAGATAGCCCATAAATATGTATTAACTACAAGTTAACAGAAGCTTTAAAGGAAAATAGTTCACTGCCAATATGTCAGCAGTTTTTTAATAAACTGCAAGATACTTTAAAGTTGGTTTTAACAAAGTTGTGTGTTCATTCAGCATCAGTATTACTAAATAATTCAATGGTTAAAATCACAAAACTATGAACATTTTTCTGAAAAAGTACAAGGGTATACAAAAATGGTAAACACATACACTAGAACCAACTGTCAATAGATGCTAAAGTAAATTTAAAAAATCATGAAAGAAAATTCCTAAAATGTCCATGTTTCTAACTTTACCCAACTGTGAATAAGATTTTTTTATATATACGCAACCTCTTTTCAGTATTATACCTAAAAAGTTGTAAAATCATTTATAAAACATAATATAAAGCTACTGTTTTTCATTAAAAAAGAAGAGACTAGTTTTGTAGAAAATACTGAAATACATAATACAAAATGAAGATTAAAATACTACCACAGAAGATGTAATTTCAACACTGACATTTTATCGATTAGTTATTGAAATTATTCCTCCCTATTGAAAAAGCCAACTTATGTATTTTTTTTGCTATTGTTAGTGTATGCAAAACTGAACTACCAATGGGCAACAGTTGCAGTCTTAAGTTTTTGCATATTGTTATCCTATTTTGAAAGAAAAGGATTAACTTAATACTGAACAAAATAAAAATACAACTTCAAACTGCTTAGGAATTTTTCTACTACATTAGGGGGGAGGGGTCACTTTAATAAGTAGTTTAAAATCATTAGGAGTCACTTTAAAAAGTAGCTTAAAATCATTATGGGATAATGTTAAAAAATAGCTTAAAATCATTAGGGAGTCACTTTAATAAGTAGCTTAAAATCATTAGGAGGGGGGGGGGTCACTTTGAAAAGTAGTTTAGAATCTCGTTCTTCAAAACATACCGGATATTGGTATAGTAGGCAATTCAGATGCAAGTTCTGATGCTGTGTCTTCAGTAGAAAAAATTTCTCGAAGTTCTTCTGTAGATAAGTATGTGACATAATCTGTCACATAATCTTGGTTTGTACATTCTGAAAGCAGGAAAAGTTTATGGTATAAGAATATGAACTGTTACAAACAAGATGTAAAATATCATATTAGGATAAAATTGTCTTAGTCAGTATAACAAACATTTAAAGCAGTATTAAAAATCAGACAACTATTTTTTAAATGACTGAAACCATACAACTAGTCAGAAGTATCCTTTATCAGATTGGTTCACAATACCATGGTTATATCCAAAATAGAGAGTGAGAAAAGCAAAAAGTGATCAAACAGAATCAAAGTCAATACATAGTAATAGCTTCATTGTTTCAACACATACAAAAAGTCATAATTAAAGTCTATCCTACTAGAAAATAAAACAATAAATGCCCTCTGTCTGCCCAATTTTCTTCACATTCACTCCTAAAGAATATAATAACATGTTTAAAAACTTGATTCCATTATACCTAAAAGACAACTATATGACGTGAACAATCACCGATGCAGAACTACCTGACCAAAACCTCACAAAGTTATTGAGCTGGAAAAACAACAGATGAAAAGTAATTGATTACTCTCAACTGATTAACTGCAGAAAACATAAACTAACTTAATTTTAAAAAAAATGACTAAATAAATATAGTTTATACATAATAAAATATTTTTTGTTTACTTTACAATTCAAAACAAACTAACAAAAGAAATTTCTCACCTAAAATCGAAGAGTGTACTTTTTGCAGGTGAAGTCGTAAGCTGGATTTACAGTTGTACTTCTTGCTACACGAAGCAATAGGACATGGGTACACCAGTTTCTCATGAGTTCCAGAGTGCTTCTTGACATGAACATATAGGCTCGACCTGGCCGTAAAACGAGCGTTACAGTCTGTCAAGAATTAGAAAATTTAATAACATTATTCTTGTTACTTTCATATGAAAATAAAAAATGACTACATTTTTTTAACTACTTACCCTGTTGACATAATAAAAAAATTATATTTGTTTGTTCAGTAGAAGTTTACATCATAGTGAATAAATACTTATTTCTCATTGGTACTCTGTTGCGATAATTTGCAACAGATCATCTAGTTTCATGAAATATAAAAAATCCAAACCCATGCTAAAAACATACAAACTATGAACTTGCATTATCTACACAGGACTGTAATAAAAAAAAACCTCAAAGAAAAAAAATAAACTTGAGTATTCAATCTTCAGTTGCAATCTGTATAGCATGAATTTCTTAAACCTAGAAAATATCCACACAGTGGTGTACTTCTGGAAGGGGTGGTAAAAACATTAGAGAAGAGGAGATACCTAAAGAGCAAATGTCACAATTACTACACTAAGGGAAATTCACAATTTTTTTTTTATATTGCCTTATAAGATTAAGAATTTAAAACTTGTATAATAATAAAATTTGTGTTATTAGATATTTTTTCATTCCAAATTTATTCATATACCACATTAAGAAAGCAATTTAATTAAATTTTGAAAGTAACTCAGTAAAACCTTGTGACGTGCAGAAAATGATGCCTGTAGCAAGAGGGTTAATGACAACAGAACACTACGGTACATGTACATAAAATAAAAAAAGAAACAGATTAATTACAACAGAACACCACAGTATATGACAGTACATAAAATAAAATAAAGAAACAGATTAATTACAACAGAACACCACAGTATATGACAGTACATAAAATAAAAAAAGAAACAGATTAATTACAACAGAACACCACAGTATATGGAAGTACAGTGGGCCCTCCTCCAACATGGGGGATACGTTCCTTGAGTAAGCTGTGATGGGCAAATCCATGTTGGAGGAACTCAATACCTTATAGGATTAATAGAGATACGGGAACAAGCTGTGTTAAGTCTCCAATAAATGTTTATAAATGGATTTTTTTTACAATATTGTATATGAACTAAAAATATATAATCATAAACATAACAACATTCACATGTGATATCCTGCACATGTAAATGAAAATATGTTAAATGAAATAATACAGTACTGCATTTTATTGTAACACTCACCTATCAATGATGAAGACAGACCTTTCGTTGATGAGAGGAAGACTTACGATTATGATGATAATAGAGGCTGAGAGGTTAGTTTAAGGCTGATGAATCATCACAAAATTCAGCCTCAAACTCCAATGAAGCAGATGCACTCCCACAAAAAAAAAAGGGAAGTGAGCCTATACTTAAAGGCCTTAAACCCAGATGCTACTTTCTGCTCTATTGGTGATATATGTCCTGTTGCCCATCTTCTTATAAAAAAGCCCTGTCTCATCTGCATTAAACACCTATTGAGGGGCATATCCTTTTTCCTTAATGAATTTAAGGAATCACAGCTTGAACTATGCAGCTTCATCGCTATCTATACTTGAGGTTGAAGTACTGCTTAAACTTAGCAAACCAGCCTTTACTTGCCTGAAACTCATTGGCATCTGCAGCACTTTCAACCTCATTGGAGACTACATATTCATAGAAACTATGTGCTTTCTCACATATAGCTACGCTATTAACAACAGAGCCTTTTTTGTTCACTTGCTCACTGAGCCACACATTCAATAATTTCTCCATTTTTTCCCTGAACAGATTCCTCCTAGGCACTTGAGAAACCTTAGCACGTATAGAGGCAGAAGCCTTAACACATGCACGGATTTTCTCTTCACTCCTCCTAATCATACGTATGGAAGACTCATTCACATCATATTCTCAGCCTATGGATGCTACACTTATCCCGTTGTGTAACTTATCAAGGATCTGAATGTTCTCAACTATTGCCATAACTTTACAGCTTTTCTTTGCCTTACTAACACTTGGAGATGATTTACATTTTAATTCCATACTGCTATCTAAGGGTAATTATGAAAAATTAGCAAAAATAAATTGACTACATGGTACTGAACTTAGCCCAATCATTTAGATATGTGGTGGGGATGAAGTGAGGCTTGGGAAGCTGGAGATAGGTATTCTTTACTGTGCAAATCACAAGGTTTTTGTGTCTTAGCTTCAAAATTTTAGTAAACTACTTTTTGTTTATGTTATACCAATTAGAATAATATACAATCTTAACTTGTAATCCATATTTTAATAGTATATAAGTTTGAAGTTCTTAATTCTATACGGCAATATTTAAAGAAATCCTGAATTTCCCCTAGTGTTACACAGGTGACACATTTTCTCTAGGTATCTTCTTTATTTTATCCAACCAATATTTAAAGAAATCCTGAATTTCCCCTAGTGTTACACAGGTGACACATTTTCTCTAGGTATCTTCTTTATTTTATCCACCACACCCCAGTAACGATGAAATGAAACATAAGTTACTCACTCTAAAATCATCATTGTCAGATAAACCATAATTTTTATAGCCTTCAATTTTTTTGGTTACAGAGTTATCAAATAGAAAATCAGATCCCTCCTGCCACACCCTCTCTTTCAGGATTTGTTAATAGTTCTCTCTTACATTTAATTATATATCATTTATAACCAATAGAAAGTCAATGTTTGCACCTATCAAATGACGTATTATATAACATTGTGTTCTGAACAGATGGATGTCAATTTCACTTATAATACAAAGTTTATTCCAGTGAGATGTTAACAACTAGCTTGGATGAACTTGTAATGGCTCTTGTTGCATAGTTAGAAAGAGAGGAAAATTTTGAGATTTAGGGGAAATTGTCTACTTTTTATATGTTATTAGCCAGTGTTCTTTAGTGCATTATTTAATTATAATATGTAATTATAAATAGATGTATACTGTTAAGAGCTTAAAGCTACTTAGGATAAATGAATGTAGTTTCATGTTACATTTGAAGTCATTCTAGAAGAAAAAAAAAAGGTAATTTAGATTTATTTCGATTCTTTTTTTTGGAGGTTACAAGATCGGTCAAATTGATTGATCCTATATAGAGATAGAGAAAATACAGTTTATTTTACTTTATTAAAAATACTTCACTAAAAAATAAGATTTTTTGTATGTGAAAGACTTATAATGTTAACTGAAAGACTGCCAAATTTGTGAAGAAATACACACTATATTGAAAGACAGAATTATTAAATCTATAATGACTTTAAGCGAGTACAAAAAAGAAAACATTGTTGTTCAAATTGGCCAAGCTCATGTTGAGAGAGTTATAATGATCTACTAGAGCACTCATATGTTTGCATGTTAGGCGAACCACACAAAATCGAATTTTCCGTGTTCAACCGATAATAGAACGCTTTTGTTTTTGTGTGTATGAGCGATTCTGTGTTGGTTAAACCCGTGTTGTAGAAGGGTTTGCTGTACATCAAACAAAACAAGAAAGAGATTAATGATAAAAGAACACCACAGTACATCAAATATATTTACATACTTTCAAAGTGGCAAGCAAATGGTTTATCTCCTGAATGAACAACCATGTGCCCCTTCAAGTGCTCAGGGCGCATGAAAGATTTCCCACAGCCTTCTTCTGGACAGGCATACTTCCTTTCTCCTGTGTGTTTTCTCATGTGTCTGGTTAGTTTACTGGCACTGACAAAGGTCCACCCACAACCCTAGAAACAAAAACAAAAATGTAGTTGTCACAAACTAATGTACATTAATACCACAAAGGCAAACAATGAAACTGAGGCTGAATATATCCTAACCTCGTGTCTAAACAAACTAGCCTCCTAATGAATCTTATAGAGAACAATCTTTTCTTTCTATTGGTTATAAATAATACAATTGCAAATGTCAGAGAGAATTACTGACAATTTTTTTTTACAGAAAGAATGAGACAGGTGAAGCATGGCATGTACTTTTTTACGCCTCAAAAAATCAAGAAGCTTGGAAGATGTAAATTTACATTATAGCTTAAAAATATCTGTAGTACAAGTATATGATAGGCAGCACACTCAGAAAATCATACAGGGGTAGAAAGAAAATCTAATAGAAACAATTAAGATCAAAAATGTCATTTGGTACAAAGAAGTGATGATTAAGAATTTTTATATTTAAATATTTCCTTTTGAAATTAAAAATTAAAGCTTATATTAAAATTTGAATCACAAACTATGTCTTAATGCCAAGTGTAATGACATATATTGATAATAAAGTTGTTTGATTACATTTTACACTTTGACTTGGCCATACATTAAAAAAAAGTCAAATATTTACTATGCTAAAGTTTGCTTGTATTAGATTCATACACAAATATGCATATTATTCTTACATTTCCCTTTTTAGTAAAAGTTTAGATATCATTTGTACACGCCAAACAAAAATCGGAATTCGATCATACACTTACTTCAAAATTACAAACATAAGGCCGTTCTCCTGTGTGCTGTCGTAAGTGCTGTTTCAACCTACACACTCGACCAAAAACCTTTAAACAGTTTTCATAAGGGCACTTCAAGTCCTCCTCTTTGTGCTGATGAACACGTAGATGTGATGCCATGGAATTAGCAGAATAATATCCTTTACCACAGCTAGACACTGGACACCTGTGGTCAGCAGAAATGAGTAATAGAAGCAATATTATTGTATTTAATTTAAATATAAATACATATGTATGTTTAAAACTTATAATTTCAATTGGTGATGGACAATAAACCAACTAATATCCTGATCATAATGACACAAATTAGTATGAAGTTTCACACTCATAGTTAAAGAAAATTCTATGAGTGAGGAGAGATGGGACAGCTTGTACTCTGGGTTAAAGAACTGGTTCTGTTAGCCTAAGGTCCTGTGTTCAAGTTTCAGTCTTTGAGCTTTTATCAATTATCAGCTTTTTCACTTACAACAATATTATTGTACGAACACTACTGTATGAGAAACGATGAAAAACTTCCCCACTTTTAAAAAGTACAGAACAACTGCAAGCTTTATACACCTTTATTTTACATCAAGAAAAAGATTCTTTGAACAATTTACTAAATAAATCATTAAACAAAGCTACAGCAATAATGAAAGTTAAAATTTTCCTAAACTAAAAATGTATTTCCGAAAGATACTTACCTCTACCTACAAAATAGCTTTTCTCGATTAGTACTGTCCTCTATCAGTGCAAAACTTTTAATGCTCGCCACCAGCCTTTCATCTCCCACTTCTGCATATCCACAGGTAAATAATTATGTAGCAGCTCTACACCAATAGGATCCTATCATAACCAGTGCCCTCTCCACACTTTTACTTGTTAATCACTTCAAGATTGGTCAGAAGACCTATACCACATATCACCAGAAGTGGGGAGGCTGGGTGGGAAATGTGAAAAGAGGTAACTATCTATTGGAAATACATTTTCACTTTAGGAAAATGTTAACTTCTGCTATGATATCTTATCTGTTCTCACAAAATAGCTAGAATCACACACTGAACTAATGGAGGGCCAGTGAAAAAATGATCCCCCCTTTAGGAAGTGCCCAAAGAAAAACCATGAAGTGTGGAACCAAAAAAGAAAATATGACACCATAGCAGGAGACCGCACCATATCTGATCCAGATATACTCTTCCCTCTTTTATGACTGTTGCGAACATAAAAGGTGGAAAACATGACGGAATCCCATGATACATATTACCTATTAATGGGATCCCTGGGTGTCAAGTGGCTAGGGCACGACAAACCGTAATGGTAGTTCAACCTCATCCAATACCCGGTGCCATCTGAAACTGCACATCAGTTTCACAGTAGGCAGAGGATCACCTACCTCTTCATCTCGAAATGAAAATTGGTAGGGAAGATGAGCTTCCTTACCCAAATCTGTCTCCACTTGAATGCATTTCCAACCCGACCAACAGCTCATCCACCACAAACTGACATCCAGCAGATGGTCGGAAGGTGGAAAGACCCAGTGGAATGACATCTCCGGTCCAAAACCTGGCAGGATTGGGTATGGTTCTTCCAGTCCACGGTAGGAGGAGGATACCTTACTGTACACAAGTGCTGCATCTAGCTACAACCAAAATCAGATTAGCCAGGAACTGACATCCAGTAGACAGTAGGAAGAGAGACCACAAATGTGGGGGTGCATCTCCATTCCAAAACCTGGCAGCATTGAGCATTTTACATCCAATCCGGGGTAGGAGGAGGGATACTGGCCAGAACATGTGAGGCCTTACTTAGCTGTACCATCTCCAACCAACACTTGATTCCCCTGAGAACCTCCTCTGGAGGATCGTAGGTAGGAGGAACATTTCAGCCTGAGGGGCAAACTGAAATACATATAGTCATGACATGGTGGAGTGCTTCAACCAAAACCTGGCAGTATCTGGAATTGTACATCAGGTCCACAATAGAAAGGGTGTCATGCCATTGACACATGATTCTAATTGTGACTGGGCCATCTCCAACAACCACCAGACCCACTGGGAATGTACATACAGATAGGAGGATTGACACATTGGGAAAAATCAATCTGCCAGATATATATTAATACAGTGTAGTACTACAACCCAAACCTGGATGCATCTGGAATTATACATCAGGTCCGTAGTAGAAAGTGCTATACGCCATCAACACCCACAAAATGCCACTGCCCTACTCTCAACTGAGCGGTATGATGCATCTCTCACGAGGACAAGCCTCCATGGTCCATCAACCAAGCAACTAGAAAAGTATAGTTAAAAGGACTACCATACTCCACTAGAAGAAAGGAGCAGAAAATGCATTGGATTGTCTGGACGACTGCATCACTAGAGACACTGCAATGGGTGACCATAATACCTAATTTTGAAAAGCAGAGCTAACATGTCAATGAAGTAGATCAACCAAAACCCGGCAACATTTGGAACTGTACATCAGGTACACAGTTGGAAGAGTGTCAATACCATGGAGCATCAGAGGTGGGTTTGTCCATGAGTGTATGGTCTGGAACAAACATATTTATGAAACAAAAGACCACTAGAGAGAACTACTAGGGATCCTATGGAACACCCCATCTTTCCAGATTGTATAACTTAATCCTGAGATGTAGTTGTATCATCATAGATGACAATTGAATGGAGACATGCAACCAACACCTGGTGGCATCTGGAATTGTACATCAGGTCCGCATTAGGAAGAGTTACAATATAATTGACATTGAGAATGGTCAGAGGATGGACAGTGCAGATTTTTTTTAAAAGAGTACACCTGGTCAGCACCACTCGCCACAGAGTGGGATCCCCAATATACTAGCAAAAAGGCTCCTGTAAATAAAGAAATAACAAAAACACAGTACTCACCAGTCATAACGATACCACAGTATGTAAGATGGCAACTGGAGGTAAACGAAAACCCACTGAGCAAGAAATGTCCGTGCGATGCAAGTAATGCGAAACAAAGGGAAGAGGTGTAGTCCACACACCAGCCCCGATGGTGACCTCCAAAGGAAGACGAAAATGGGCAGCAAGGGACATGGTGAGGTGATGGATTTGATGAAAAGATACCCTAAAAAAGCAACACTTTTCAAAAGAAAGGGAAGAATACATCTGCCTAATTAACTGGTGAATCCAACTTATAAGGGTAATGGGAGAGAGATCCCAGGGCAGAGAAGGATTCTATGGAATAAACAAATAGTTATGGGAACCACAGAAGGAAGCAGTATGAGTGAGATACCATCAGAGAGCACGGGCCAGACACAGGAGGCAGTCAGGATCAGAACAGTCATAAATCTGAGAAATGGAGTAAAATAAAATGGGAGAAAAAGTAGAATTACCCTCTCTAACAGTCTTGGGCAAAAATGTACAGTCAAGGAAAAGTAGAACATAGGAACTGTTAAACAGCACATGATAACCATCCATCGCAAAGACCTCAGAATACCACCGGCCATAAGCCAATTATATGAGAAATTGGAAATTTAAGGAACACAAAGACAAATGTTCAAATGGAGGAAGAGTGAGAGTGTGAAAGACAACATTGAGATTCCAATCCAGGAAAGACACAGGGCAAGGAGGGCGGAAAAGGGAAAATGAACGAAAGAACAAAGACAATACAGGAGATCAGAAGACAGAGGCAAACTCAGTAAATCTGAACATGCAAGATAATGCAGCTCTTTAGCTGGAATCAAGGAAACTGTCAGTTTCCTATCAAAGAGCCAGGTGAAAAGTGCAGTTAACTGTGGCAGGGAAGGTTGTGAAGGACAATATCCCTGGCGAAGTGACCAGTGGTGGAAAGTATACCATTGATGCTTGTGTGGTGGTGACGGTTGCATGAACGTGGACATTTCACGTCAAGTAACTGCCATCACGTCTTCAGTCGATAATTGAATACTCAACCCAGTACTAGTGGTCGGGAAACCTGCAGCAGCATTAATAGCTGTGGTATTTGTAACTACCTGAAACTGTGAGCGCCTAGTGACAATTCCAAACTTGGAGCAAATAAAAATATCAAAAGCAACCTTTCACAATTCAAAAATGTAAAAAATCAAAGAAATAGTAAAGAAAAACTAATTCTGTAAAGAAAAATGTCAGCAAACTTGCGAGCAGAAACAAGCATGACTGTACAGTACTACTGCCAATCAAGAAGTGACTGATTAGTGCAAACGTAGAGAATGCACTGGTTACAATAGGGGTTCAGTTGCACTCCTATTGGTGGAGAGCTGCTGCATAATCATTTACATGTGGATATGCAGAAGCAAGAGGTGAAAAACTAGTGGCAATGTTGAAAATTTGCACCGATAAAGGGCAGTATCAATTGAGAAAAGCTTTTTTTTAGCTGATGTAAGATATTGTATCAGAAATAAAGTTATAATTTTCAGGTAACTCACATGTATGGGGCATCAACATCATCATGAACTTTTAAATGTAGTTCCATTTTTCTGCGAGTTGCAAAAGTTTGCCCACAACCTGGTGAGGGGCAAGCTAAAGATTTTGGTCGTTTGTGTAGCCTCTTGTGAGAGTTCAAGTTGTAGATGGTGGTAAAACGACGATTGCAGCCTTCAAAATCACACTGCAATATATATGAAAAGCTTTGCTTCCTACTTCTTTGAATATTCTCACACTGTAATGCAATATTAAATACTCTTCTACGGATTTTACTTCATCTGTTACTTTTAAAGACTTTGTTACACAGATATTTAAAAAACTTAAAACTTTGCCAACTTTACATACCATGATTATAAGACAGTTTTTTTGGAATAAAAGTTATTTTTTTATTAAAAAGAAACTATTTATTGAAACATCTCAGTCAGTCACTTGCTAATCATTTATTCAAAATGTATAGAAAACTATCAAACAATGAAACTTAAAACTTTCATCATGACTTGTAAGTTAAAAAAAAAAATCTCTCCTGCTTAACATAAAACTAGACTACTATTGGGTCACCCACTATTCAGAAGTTATGAAGAATTTGACTGAGAAAATTTTCTCATTTCCTTACCTACCATAACCAAGGCACATTATTGAGAAATTCTTCAAGATCTATTTTTTGTCATCTTAAGCCAATTAATGAATATGGGAACATTGACAGGGAAATAGATTTGAACAAAGAAGTTTCGTAAAGAGCGCGAATGGTAGTGTGGTGTAAAACTACTGATGCTAGAAATTTTCATAAAAGTGACCTGAAAAACAGCGCTAATTCGGTAACCTGTGGCCCGATTTTAACAAAATTTGTTTTATTCTGTTTCTATTCTCATTTCTCATATTCTGTTCATATTTCTATTCTCATATTGTGTGCCATTTTTGCTGTATTTAATTACAGACAAACAATCTCAGAGTTTTAGTAGTATATAGATAGATAACAGACACTAAATAATTCCGTTTTTGAACGTATTTGAGAACATAATTCAAACTTAGCAGCACAAAATCAGTATTAATCGTCTTCCAACGTATATACTGGAGAACATAATTCAAACTTAGCAGAAGCACAAAGTCACTATTAATTTTCTTCCAATATATATCCTGGTGAAAATTAGCTCCCAAAAGCATTGAGGATATATCATCTATCACAAATAATCTGAAAATGGAGATGAGAAACAAAACAGCCAGCAAGCAAAATCAAATAAGGCCAAGGACCTGAATATTACTGCTAGACATTTTCTTTTAAAAATTAAACCTTTTTTGTTTCTGGCATAATAAAAGTTGAATTTTGGTATTTTTTTATCAATTTGGATTCTGTTTTTTTGCTAATATTTTTTATACTTCTTATAAAAAAGTTTCTTCAAAACTTGTGTTACATTTTGCTTTAAAAAATTTGGTTTTGATCTTATAATTTTTCATCATTGTTATAACCTATGGACTTTTGAAATTAACAACATAATTTGACTTTTTCTATATATATATAACACACACACAAACATATATGAACATCTAAAGACTAAAGAAGCCATTCTTACCAGATAATCTTTTTTCCCAACATGAGTTTCTAGGTGGCGTCTCAATTTGTAAGCTGTCACAAAAGACCAATCACAGCCTTCTATGGTACACTAAAAGTTTCAAAAGCATTATAGGTGTAACCAACAATAAAAGGTTTTAGTGCTGCAATCCTCTAAAAATCATTTTATGTCTGAAGTAAAAAAAAAGTTTAAGGTCATAACCAAAACACTTATGGTAGACAATCTTACATGAGTAAATTTCCTGCATTAAGTTATAACCATTCATCATCTAAAAGAAAGCAAAAAAATGATTTCTGATAAATATTTTTTGTCAGATTTTCTTTGCCCCTTATTATAAGGTAATCTGACACAAGCTGTCAAGAAACTTGCTGTCTTAACTAGTACGAAACAAAGAAATGCTCATCTCCACAGGAAATATATAAAGATCCTGAAAAGTGTGCAATATCAAATTAAACACTCTGGATAATGTGATGTGCTATACATAAATCTAGTTGCACCAATTAACAAAAAACAATTCAGTCACTCTTTAAAGATGTATCACAAATACAATACATGAATAATCCAGGTTTACAATTCTGCATCCAAAAATGATCATTCTGTTATGGAAATCAAGCATTCTTAAAAGAATGATGAACTGAAATGTACTTAAAAAAAACAATGTTTAAAAGATAAAAAGGATTAATTTTTTCAACTACATAAAAAATTAATGTAAAACTATAATTATTTACTTTTACAGTTCTCAAAAGCAAAAGTGTCAATATTATTTTTCATTAATTTGCATAAAATAATGTACCAAATATATTTTGTTCTTCCATATTTGTATTTCTTATCTACAGTTAAGGTTTTTGATATACATGTGAACAGTGTTTACAGACTGGCCTGAGAGATTTGGCTGTGTAAGTCCTTTACGTCTTTTTCTTCATACAATATGTATCCAAAAAATTAGGCAGAAACTAAAAACTAATGTCACACCATCAGAACAATCAAGTACGAATGGATATTTTATATGGTCTTCACTTATTCTAATGATTCAGAAAATCTACTCTAAACATAACGAATAGATAACATGATAACCACCGTAACAATTCAATAAACTCAATCCTTAGAGATACTTACTTTGTACGGTCTTCCCCTATCGTGATTCAGCAAATGCACTCTAAGTTTACTCTCCACAGGAAAGGCATGATTGCAGTCAGCATGAGGACATTGGTACTTCTTCTTTGAACCACTAGGTGGAATACTGTTCACAACCCCTGCTGGACTTGTAGGTTCTTCTGCAGTTTTGAGCTGCAGAAATATTAGTCTAATCTTTATATTACTTTTAATACTTAGAATTAAATTACAAAACAGTCTAAATTGTCTATTAAAAAAGGCCTAACTGAGTAAAAATTTTGTCTGAAAACATCAAAAACACACCTTGCCAGTGAGATTGGTAATCAAAAAGTGGGCTGCTCAGAAGAGAGAGTGCTAGTGACGATAGGAGTTGTGTCTCACTCCTATTGGTGGATGTTTGCTGCATGATCATTTACATGATAGCATGTAGATGTCTCGCGTGAGGGTAGGTGGAAGTATCAAGGCTAGTAGCAAGCAAAAATATGTGCGATATAGAGGGCAGTATAAGTTGATAAAAACTACTTGTGAAAGGAAGTAAGATATCATATTGGAATGATAAACATCTCTGAGGACCAAGATGAATAAAATGAGGTCTGCATGAGTTGACTATCATCAAAAGACCTCATCCATAGATTGTTGTGTTAGGGTTTATAAAAAATGCATACTGTGAATGAATGGATAACCAAAAATTGCATACTTTTGTCTTCCAATTTGATAGTAGAGGCAAAGATAATAAAGACTGTGTACACAAACTGCTCACTCACTTTGTTTCAGAGTTCTTACTCATCTGACTGTTATCAGATAGATACCAAAACCAAAAGAAAAAAAAAACATCAATATGACAGAGATAGTATCTTATGAAGTGTAAGAACTCCTGCCATTATGTCCAATTAAAACATGGATAAAAGTTTTTACATGGTACATACATTGTGTGCCAAGTTGTGCACACAGGTAAATTATTTTCATTATATAAGCACAATTTTGCATTAACTGCAGATGACGGATATTTCCGTCATTGAAGTTCCATGGCTCAACTGCGAATGACGGAAATATCCTTCAGTCGCACATATATAACTATAACTCTATGCGAATGACAAAAATTACCATTTTATTGTGATTGATGGCAACTCAGTTTTATCTGTAAGTCAGAAAATGGCAACTGAGCTGCTCCTGCCACAGTTAATGAGTTAACATAACATACAGACAAAAAAAAGAGAAAACTTGGTTCTTCAAAAGTTTGTTTTTGCACACCCACCCTTGAGTAGGAGTTAAATTGGGATGGTTTAATTTTAGTTTGTTTGTTCTTAAACACAAAACTCCACAATGAGATATCTGTGCTCTTCCCACCATAGGTAGTGAAACCTGATATTTAGCACCATAATCTTGCAGATTTACCACTGAGCCACTGGAGGGAAAATTGGGGTGTAATGGTCTGGAACAATTTTCCACCTCTTGAGGATTCAAACCATTAGCTTCCTGGTCTTCTGATATCAAAGTGGGTCATAAATGGGAGTCCCACCTCTTTTAAAATCCCAATTAACCACTGCCCTTAAAAAAGAGGAAACTTAAACCTACACTTTTTTTAATATAAATCACTGATTCCCTTCTTAAACTAATTCTATTAGTTAATCAACCTGTTAGAAAAATACCCCTGACATATATAGAGCCTAGCTTTTCAAATCTTGTGTCTTCTTGTCCAATTTCTTCAGTATATTGCACAAAAAAACAGATTTTATCATATCCCCCCTCCCCCCCTACCTAATAAACATTACATTTTCAGTAAGACCACCTCTTACCATTCTTTTCTCAAAAGAATCCCAATTAATCATTTTCAGGCCATGGAAGGGTCAGTGTTATTCCTTGATTCTTTTCATCTCACAGTGAAAATACTTAAACTGTTGTGGTGGCTCAAATACTTTTCTGAGTTTCACACAATTTGGTTGACGTAACTTATCTTATGCTGTCATGATATAAAAGACTGTTTAGTGTAGGTAGTATTAATTTATTGATTTTGTGAGTTAATATTTTATGCTTTAGTTTGTTTTTTTATAATAAGAGTTAAAAGCAGACGATTGTCAAATGTCGTGTGCAATACACCGACATCAAGAATATAGATTTCTAGAAGTTGGGCAGACGATTATGTGATAAACATTTAAATAGTGTGAGACAAGCAGAAAGAGCAGCCAGACAATAGCAGAAGAAAGTAAAGTCACGACCAAGGAAAAATTTGGCATGAAGTACTTTATTGTACATACAATTAACTTGTTCCAAATATATATATTATTTTTTAAAACAAGTGAAGCACATGCTGTTCATTTATTGCTAACAAGTCACAGATACCTACTGTAGAAGAATCCTAAGTCCAACAACAACAACACAGTATATATTTATACTATTAAGAAGTATAAGTAAATGCCTTTAATTGGCAACTGGCAAACATACCATAACTTAATATCTGACATACTTTCTTTAACCTAAAAAAGGCTTATCTAATATCTTGTCATGGGAGAAAATTTCCATGACTTTCAAACAAACATAATTCAACATGAAAATGTTTTCAAGAATGAAAGAATGTTGAAAGAAAGCATAAAAATTCCCAGATTTGTGGTTGGTTCCTAAATCTTCTAAACTTCCCACCACATACCATTCTGCAGGAGCAAAATCTTCACCCTTCCCATGAAAACATAAATCACTTCTCACATCACTTTATTCATTCTATATTGAAATAAATAGTTTATAATCTGCTGTATACAATGGTATTTAAACTTTTCTTACAGCTACTTTCAAAGCTAAACTACAATCAGTAGTTGTTATAAACACATGTTGATCATAAGAGGTTAAGAATAAGAGATCATCTTAATAAAATCAAAGAAAAAGAAAATCACATGAGAAACAAAAACCTTGATAATTCTATTCTCAAGGGATGACAGTTTCTTGTCATATATAAACCTATGTTCTGGGGTGGGCAAACAAAAAGTATAAGAAATTGGTAAGTAGTTTATTCAGAGGCAAGTCTCTCCATGATGCTGTGAAGAACTTTTTTCGATTTGAATGACACTAATTAAATGTTAGAAAATGACAAAATATCACTTGTGAGGTATTTTTATGCAAGAAATTGTTGAAAGAGTTATAATTATTATTTTTACTCAAGTTTTGACACTTAAAACTAAAAAGTGCTCACCAGTTCATAAAATGTTAAGATATTTTAACCTATAATATTACTTTTTCATCTACAGAATCATCCTAGTATCCCTCCTCTAAACAATATCCCTCCTTAAAAAGGAGACCAAAGATTTACATAGTAATTCAAGTGGGACCTAACTAGTGATATTTATATTCAGATACAGGGTTCACATTTAGCAGGTGCCCGGGAGGCCCATAAAGAGTACCTGCCAGGTAGCCTGCGTGGAGCCTTAAAATCAAAAGAATCATTAAAGTTTGACTCCACATAAATTGATCAAAGCGTTTCTTAACTGAGCAGAACTTATGATGAACTGTAAATGGATCTTCCCAAATTTATGATCACTTGTCAGACATGTACAATCCACAAATATCATCACTATGAATGTTCGTGTATTCATTTTAAATGCACTTTCATTAATAGGAATGCCATCACTTTGTCCAATATTCAAACTTTTTGTATCATTTTAATGGAATTGATATATAAAATTTGAAATATAGCAATTATTTGAACTTTTATACAGATAATTACTGTTTTCAATCAGAATGCTACTTTTAAATTTTTTATATATGTGACACCAAGCCTGCATCAAGGCTCACACATTTGAAAGATGTACATACAAGTTCTACTTTGTCAACACATTTGAATACAACTTTACAGACTGTACTAACCAAAATAATGTTACTGTTTTACTAATCATGTCACAATCGGAAATCACCAACTGCCAATAATAATAATTCACAATCAGCCCAATTCTGATTAGGTACAGTAAAGTTGATGATGTCATTGTACAGTATTGTTGACAGTTAACCTTAAAAATTGTAATGACTACAGAAAATGTACTTTGAAGTTTCATTAAATTTGAAATGGTTGAAATTATCAATATATGTGACATGCAAAAAAAAAAAATCACAATATCTATTCTGTTTTTTATTTGAACAAGTGAAAAATAAAAATTGGGACTGACCTTGTAGCTAGTACATGATCAATACATAATGTTATATGACCATCATAAGAGGCAAACAATTTGTTGAGGTTCCTTGCCTAAATTCATCATTCACTTCAGCCATAAGTTTGAAAACTTTTGCTATCTCTCTACACATTTTGAACTAAACCACTTTCTAAACCAAAGGAAGTATTCCAACCAAAGGTCAAATAAAGTGACAGCATTTGAAAGTTTTCAGTCATAAAAAGAGGAATCTTCAAACCAGTTTCTGAAAGATATTTTTAGCTGCTACATAGTGGCTCATAGAATGGCTCCAAGTTTTTTTTCAAGTACAAACTTTTAGCTTATAGCTGTGTCATCTCTTAACTGCTCTGAGATCTAATTACAGTTTTGGACTCAGGAGTTCAAACCCTTTTGATTGATGTATTTGCCAAACCCAAGGTCTCATAGATTAATTTACTCTAATCTTGCCTAAAAGAATTTCAATTTGAGGGTAGTAAGCTGGTAGAGATCCTGATGAGTAATCAAATCGAATCGGGTATATGCATGCCCCATGCTTCGTGTTGCTGTTGCACAAAAATATAACTAATAAAAAGGAAAAAAAAAAATACTCATAAATTATTTACTCTAATCCTGTCTAAAAGAATTTCAAGTGCCACAGCTACTGAAGATTCCCTCTTGTTTTAAATTGGCCTTATCAAAAATAGTCCTAATTGTATTTTTATTGCATAGAATGATCAACTTTCCAGTCTTAAAAAAAGAAATGAGAACTTTAAATGCATTTGATAAAGAAGATCCACATCGTGCTGGTTGAATTATTTAAAATTTATCATCTCCCAGCACGACACACATGGTTTCGTCAAATATGTTTCAAATCTCAGCAGTTACACTGTGTCACTTTTCACATTTGTCTAAAATCATGAAACATTAGCTTTTACTGTTGATAAAGATGTATACACTCCCCTGTTAGTTACAGGTGCAATGGGCAGTCGGTTACAAGAACTGCCCACCTTCATGATTCTTGTTTTTAAACCATTTGCTTCCTACTTGAAAAAACAAAACAAAATATCTAGTTTTTCTCATTCAGAAGCAATCCAACCAATCAGCCAAAATTAACTTTAAGGTAGCTTCTTGGAACTATGTATATTCATAAATAATGGGTCTATCAAATGGTGAGATGAACTGTTCCATAGCTGTTCAATGGGTTAGTTGTTTTTTATATACCTGTTTACCACTTTCAACTTATATTGACACCTCTGACAGTGACATGCACAATTCAAACAACTGACAAAAAACCCTACTGTAAAGTAATGGAACATCCCAAATTTCCAATCATTCTGTTGTCATCCACTCTTCAGCAACCTCCTCAAACAATGAGCTAATACACCGTGTGGTACTAATGAGGAGCCACATGGTGTATCATCCCAAGAACTTTGTAGAAAAAAGTCTGTGTAGATCTCTGAATAGTACACAGTGTGTATTAGCTCTGTGCTTCGGTGTGATTCTGTTATCAACTGTTTGCTAATGCTGAGTCCATACAGAAATGGGTGTACTTCGCGATGTGCGGAACGTTGTTTCTTAACCTTTCTTTCATTTAGTGTATCAACTTATGTAAATAAGTAAGAAACAGACAGAGATTGTTTTAACTGATGATATATTATTCTATGGTGAATAATGTTTTGTACTGAAAGAAAAAAGTACAGGGTTGTGATTGTAAACATACTTACAAATTAGAAGATTGTTTTGTAAATAAAGTAGCCTGGGTGGTGGTGTTTTTCATTTTTTGGCAATCAGTTTTCCATGATTGGGAAATTCAACAAATTCTACCGATTCTGATTCGATTATCAGTAAAACACTATATAATATAAAATAATAATTTTAAATGAACACAAAATAATGATTTAAAATCAGGAATGATAATACAATTCTCATGACAGTCCCTCTGATACATCTTCCACATCTAATTCAGTACTTAATTTTACCAAGCATAGCAAGAAATGCCAGACATTGGCTACCATCATTCCTGGGGCTAAGGAGGAGTTACCTAACTTCTCTGGCCTCTTTCACCTACTGCTGTCTGTATCAATCAGCTCTGCTGAGGCAGAAAGAGGATTCAGCAAGATGAAGATGATTAAAACCAATTTGAGATCTTGTCTGGGAGCTGACAGGATCACAGATTTTTGGAACTCGGGATCACTTTCCACAAGGAGACCACCAACAGCTATCCATCTTTGGAACTCGGGATCATATTCCACAAGGAGACCACCAACAGCTATCCAACTCTGGAACTCAGGATCACTTTCCACAAGGAGACCACCAACAGCTATCCATCTTTGGAACTCAGGATCATGCTCCACAAGGAGACCACCAACAGCTATCCATCTTTGGAACTCAGGATCATATTCCACAAGGAGACCACCAACAGCTATCCATCTTTGGAACTCAGGATCATATTCCACAAGAAGACCACTAACAGCTATCCATCTTTGGAACTCAGGATCACTTTCCACAAGGAGACTACCAAATGCTGGCAGGGTCAAGATTGAACAACAGGTGCAGGGGAGAATGACAAAGAATGGGATGAAGGAAGAATCCAAGAAATGGATGTTGGGACATCAACAGACACTGATACTGATGTGTACTAGATTTCCTTTCATTATTTATTTTGATTATTAAAGGATACTACTTTAAAGGGGAACAAAAGAATAAATTACACTGACAGTGGTGCATATATTTTCTTTCATTATTTATTTTGATCATTACAGGACATTTCTGTAAAGGGAAACAAAAAGTTGCTGTTATACCATGCTTTAGAGAGAAATTAAAGATCCTATATGAAATAAAAATCATTTAAATGGTCTGACAAAAATGAATGGTTTGACTTTTGTTTTTCATTTTTCAGCAAAATAAATTGAAATACATTGATATATTTATAGTTTCCTTTCAATTTACTTTACATCTGCTATTTAATTCAGTGATATTTCTGATAACCTCCACTATAGAATATATTTTACCAAGAACTATAGGATTGGCCCTTGAAAATGCATGTTTAGGGGGCCCAGCTGGCTCCCTAAAAAAAGTTAAGCTTGAGCCCTGACTTATAAACACATATATACATATACAGAGCTAGAAACACCTAATGGTTTAATGTCATCAGCAAACTTTACAAATTTACTAATTATGCCCAATTAATATCAATAATGTAAATAAGAAAACAGCAATAGCTCAAATACTGACCCCCGAGACTCTCAAGTAGTAACAAAGATCCAGTTTGAGTGGACTACATCAATAACAACATTTTCTTTCTCTCATCCAACAACTCAACAGTCCAATTAACCTAACTCCAACCAGTGTTTTTTCTTGGCTAATCTTTTGTGTGGCACCTTATCAAAAGCTTTACAAAAATATCAGTGCACAAAGTGCATAAATACATCCTACAGTTCTATTAGCTTTATTACTAGCAACAGAACACTGCTTCTGTGGTTAGAGTGACTTATCCACCACTATGCCAAGATCATTTTCTATAATCATACTATTGGGTGGGTTCCCATCTTTATTAAATATGACCCATGTTAACCATGAGCCCTTCCCATAGCCCAGGTAACAAGTATCAAACAAATGCCATGACTATCTCAATTTTCAATTTTTCTCTCTCATGACAGTTTATAAAAGGAACGAATTAGAAAATTTCTTATTTAGAACAAGATATGGCTTTACTTAAGACCTAAAAACTTAATTATATGGCTATGACTACCTGATAGATTTAATTTTCAGTCTCCAATCATTAAGCATTTTAGTGTGTGTGTATGTGCTCCCCCCCCAAATGTTTTTATAGCTTTTCTACTAATTCAAAACATAATGTTTGTAAATGTTTAGTCAAATGAGCTACAAATTTGCAATACATTAATTAAACAATCTTCTACAACAGAAGCTACAGTGTCAAAACATTTCACTTGTTAATATTTTAAATTAAAATTCTGTTCTGTACCTATCTACCCTACATTTCACATAATCGGAAACATAAGTACTTTTTATTTTGACTTACATCTTCTGGACTTTTATTTTCTGTTTCAACTTCACAGATTCCAGTCTCAGATACTGAAAATAGGAGCAAGATCGAATCAATACCAAAATCAATATTGAAAGTGACTGAGTTTGGCTACTAGTGTTTCACTTTATTTTATAATCAGTGTAACATTACTGCCAGTTGTTATGTGATATGCATTTAGAGATTAAAAATCTGTCATTACAATTATTCAAACCAAATAAATAAAACTGATCAAATTTAAAAGTTAAACTTCAGTACATCAGAGGTAAGAACCACACATCTGAATCTGAATATAAAAAAATACAATCACAGTGAAATGCTATGATATTACACAATTATCACAATGCTTTACATAATAACCATAATTTTTTTCTTACAATTGATTTTATAATCTAAACTAAATATGCGCTAATTATCATTATATAATTTAGAGATTTAACCTTTATCAGTTTATTATTTAAATAAACAAGATTACAAAAAATGACAAGAGGCCAGAACTGTAACTACCAAAGTCTAATATCTTATATCAAGAGGCAAACACCAGACCAATGTGAATTAACCTCATTTAACAAGTCTACGCAAATGCTAATTGCTATTTAATCTTGAAATTTAAAATAAATGTAACTGCTCATCACTTTTAGTGCTTAAAAATTCCATCGAGCTATGATTATTAACAAGACTTCAGGAGACACAATTTGTTGCAATGAAAAAATGTCACAATGTGAGACTCCAATATTTGTCTATCCTTGGTATGAAGGTTTGCCCCAGCATTCAAAAACAAATATTTTGAGTTTTGGTGTTTTTTACCAAGTTCTTCTATCTCCTTATTTTGTGAAGAGTAAAATATACTAAAAATAATAACCACTTGTAAATAAATTGCTGGAATGTAAGACTGATCACAAGTTCATACAAGACTACTTTACAATGCTCTCTTTGAGTATTCCAAAAACACAATAGTGCATGTCTAAATGAGGGAGTTACCTCCTATTTCTGAGTGGTCCTTTGGCTCCTTGCTTGTTCTTATGTTCTAATAAATCTTTTTTTTTTTAGAAACACAAGTATATCTTAGAGCTAGCACCTCATTTTGGAATGAACATGAATATCTTCAAATACCTTTTCCACTTTTGATCAAAGTATATAAACACGTATTTTTAATATACATCACTTGAAAACTTAAGTTATCTACCTCTATTTCTTTCAAGGCAGTTAAAATGTTTAAAGAATAAACTAATGTTTTTAAGTTCAAATGCATAAAATGTGAAGTTGAATTCAACAGAAAGTATGCAAATTACAACAGGTACCTCTTGTGTATACAAGTATTATTTGTATATATTCTGCCACATGTAAGTGGTTACATTTTGTTTTATTTTGGTTTGTAAAGATGTAACCCCACTAACCTAATTGGCTTTCTTCCACACTGATCTTTTTTATGTCCTTTTATTTGTATACAATCCTCTGATCAAGAATTTAAAATACCTTGAAAACACTTCTTACTAGCATAAAATACAGATATTACTATGACAACATTTTTATAACTTTAGTGAGACCAAGTTTTGTAAAAACTTTAGTCCAAGTCGTCTGTTTTATACATTCCATACAAACAGGATGTACCCTGTTTTGAATGACTAATCCCTCCCTCAGGCTGTCACAGAGTCTGGGCAAATGCACTTGTATCTGCTTTTGTATGTGACCAGTATACTAGACAAGTCTCCTGCAAGACTAGACTCTCGATGTGTATGTAGTATGGCCTTCCAGAAAACATCGCAAAGCTTAGAATTAAATAGAGTTCCAAGCAAAGTTAATACCGTATTTGCCTGAATATAATGCACACTTTTTTCCTCCAAATACCTCCCCAAAAAATTGACTGCACATTGTATTCACGCACATTTAATTTTGTTTGGTATTTTACTAGAAGCTACCAGTGAAAATCATTAAAGGTTTAAAAAATGTTGCATATCTAATGTAATGGATGAATCACAAGAGTATGAAGCAAAGGTTCAAGGAAGCAAATCTGATGGTAGTGGCAACTCTAGTGATGACAAAGATTTATGTGAAGATGAATGATTAGCTTTTCAATAATTTTTGTAAAATTGACACGTAAAAAATTTCATTGAAAAATTTCCAAAAATATTTAATACATTGATAGTTGCTTACTGTATTTAGATACTATTAAATACATTTTGTACAAATGATGTGTACAGATTTTTCTTCAATTTATCATCTCAAAATTGGGTGTGCATTATATTCAGTCAAGTATGGTAGTTCAGTCAGTCTGTATGGCAGAACTATTTGTCCTGGTGTAAAACAGTCGTTCTTTTGATGAGATAATAATGTACACAGTTCATTGTTGCCCAATGAAGGCTCCAGTAAGAAGGCCAAAAGTTCACAAATAAAAGTATTTTAATATAGAGAAAAGTCAGTATATAATTCTACGTATTAATTTACCTACACATTGAATCTTAAACAACAATGGCTAGGTTAATAAATTCAGTTTTTTCTTCAGTTTTTACTAAGGAAGATTTAAGCAGTATTCTTCATCTTGAACAGCTGATAGATGGAAACAAGATCAAACAAAGTGATTGCATTAATTCTAAGATTTTTAAGAAAAAATTGGGAAGTTTAAAGAATAATAAGGCTCCTGGGCCAAAAAACATTTCCCCAAGGTTTTTGGAGGAGGTTAAAGATTGGATATGTGAGCCACTTGTTCAATTTTTTTCAGTCCTTGAATAGTGGGCAGGTACCAGAGGATTGGAAGTTAGCCAATATAACTTCTCTTTTCAAGGGAAGTGATAATAATTGACCCAGTAATTATAGACCCATTAGTCTTACATCAGTTGTGAGAAAAGTTTTGGAAAGTCTGTTAAAAGATGCTTTGCAAAGTCATTTAACAAAATTTAGAATATTATTGGATAGTCAACATAGTTTCACTAAGGGAAAAATCTTACTTTCCAAATCTTTCGATATTCTTTGAAAAGGTTACTGCTTATGTATATGAGGGTAAAGGTGTAGATTTGGTGTATCTGGATTTTCAGAAAGTATTTGACAGGGTGCCACATAAAAGGCTTGTAAAAAAATTATCGGTGCTACTATAACATGCGCACCACACAGATACTATCATCATCACCATTTTAATGATTCACTGAAACATAATTTCTTGCTAGATAACATTTATCTATCCACATTTTTGTTCAGCAAATAATAATAAGTTGTGTGTTCCAAAAGAGTACCTTAAATTTAAGTTATAATTGTTGGAATTTATTTCATTCAGATTATATTGGCACCAAAAATGTTATGTAATGGTATTTTGTACTTTATTAGTTTAAAAGCATTATTTATAATAAATGGCACCAGTTGCAATTAAACAAAAGTCAAAAAGGTGATGATAGTATCTATGTAGATGGCATGCTATAGTAGCACCAAAATACCTCTGTAAGTGTGAGGGATAAGTTAGCTAATTGGATAGAAGAGTGACTGGATGGAAGAAAGCCGAGGGTTGTTATAAATGGAGTTCAGTCAAACTGGATTAAAGTTACAAGTGGGGTATGTCAGGGCTCAGTCTTAGGACCTTTACTCTTTTGAGTTATATCAATGACTTAGATGAAGGAATGGTCAATAAATTTGCTGATGATATTAAGGTCTTTGGTGTTGCTAGCTATGAAGAGGATGCTGCTGTTTTACAAAAGGATTTAAATCATTTAGTGAGTTGGATAAATAAATGGCAGATGGGTTTTAATTATAATAAATGCAAGATAATGCATATGGGTTATCATAATTTGAATTATAAGTATAATTTGGATGGGAATAACCTTAACAGTATTATGAAGGAAAGGGATTTTGGTGTAATAGTCGATCAGTCTCTAAAGCCATCCAAGCAGTGTGATGTTCCTAGTGGTACAAACAAATAGGATTTTAGGTCGCATCTAAAGAAATATTGAATACAAGTCTAAAGAGGTTATAATTTCGTTGTATAGGTCACTGGTTAAGCCATGTTTGGAGTATTGTGTTCAGTCTTGGGCTCCTTACCTTAGAAAGGACAATGAATTGTTGGAATTGTTTTCTTTTGAAAAAAGAAGAGCTGGGGGAGATCTGATTTGAGATGTTTAAGATTGTAAAGAGAATTGATAGTGTTGATGCATCATCTTTTTTCATACTTAGTAGGATTAAGAATAGTAGGACTAGGGGACACAAATATAAATTTTGGCAGGGTTGGAGTCATCTTCAGCTGAGACAGTTTTATTTTTCTAACAGGATGGTTGGTCTTTGGAATGGGTTGCCTTCGAATGTTGTGGAGGCAGTAAATTTAAGTTATCTTGGTAACTATATGAATGATAAGGGTTGACTTTATGATTTTTTTTAATTGATTTATTTAATAAGTTTTAGTTTATCTCAGAGGTTAGGGCAGCCAAGATGGCCCCTATTGTCCTTAAACATTATAATTGAAAGAAATAAGTAAACATTGGCAAAGAGTACATGGCTCTTGCTAGGAATGTTTATGACTTACGAGTTAAACTTCTTTTTTAAATAAAACATTTGAATATATTTCTGAGAATTATTTTGACACCAATACTGAAAAATTACATAATTTTACTCCATAAATAGTGGAGTTTTTAATGTTTTTATGGTTTTGGATGAGAGATAGATGATGTTTACCTTATTTTTCAGAAACATCTGCATGTTCATAAGGTGGTTTACAAGAGGTTAATTACTATCACAGCCTTGTAGCATTGGTAGGAAATAAAAAAATCCATTAGAAAGTAGCTTAATTGTAGAGAAGGAGAGTAATATAAATAAGAGTGCAGTTTTGTTAGTGGATGGATTAGTGGGGTTCTTTGGGCAACATTTTATACAAGACTGATCAAGTCTCACATTGAGTACTGTGTTCAATTTTTGACTTAACACTATAAATGATAATGTTCTGCTGGAACTGGTGCAGCAGGGTTACCAACAATCAGGGTTAGTTAATCAGAGAGACACGCTTCCACTTGCTGGACCAGAAGAGACAGATGTGGTCTTAAATTTAGCTTAAAGTATGATGACCAAAATGGCTTGAAAAAGCTGATGCTAATGAAAACATTGTACAGAAATATCTCGAAAGAGTTTAAAGGTTGTCAGCACTTACATGTAGAATGCAGGAAGTGTTATGTGAGAAAAACCTTGATGTTGTGCAGTGGACAAAAAGGTCTGAAGCTAGCATCTGTCTATAGCTAATTTTAAAACTGACACTTGACATATTCAGTTGGACCTCATACAGCAAACTATGGTCTGTTTTGGTATTTTTATTGGACTTTTATAGGAAAGATGTTTTTCTGCCCAGAAAGCCTGCCAAAAATACTTGGTTGGAAAACTTAATCTATGATGGAAACTTGAGCAGTTGCACTTGCTTTTGCTGTAACAGAGAATAAATGCAGGTTGTATGATGGGGGACTAGAAGTTTGTATGTCCAGGCCCCAAACTTAACCTAGTTAGAACGTATTAGTTCATGATATAGTTTATCTGATAGTGTGACATGATGATGTTATAACCTGAGAATTTGAAATACACACCACTTTTTTATTTTTGCAACTGAAATCATTCTTATTCAGTGAACTTCTAACACTATACCATGTTGAAAACCTAACAAATTATTACACTTAGTACTTGTATTTAACCTCTTTTTAATGTACTTTTATGCAAAAGTGTTGATGAATTATTCAAAACTTAATTCCCATTCCTAAATAAACAAACTATCTTTCCCTCACCTTGAAACATCTTCTCTTGCACATTGGTTTTACCAGTAATTTCAGTGAAATTAACTATACCGTCTACTTCACCTTCTGACTGAGTAACAATTACAGCTGGCATATTTCCAGGCTGGAATACATCAGTTAAAGCTGACCCCTGGCTCAGAACGGACTCTAAAGGTATTAACCGCATCCTTGGAAATGCAACACTGGTGTGGTTTAACTGGAGAACTTGTCCTAAATAAGATGGCATCACTCCGATAACTTGAACAGAATTAACATCACCAGTAACAGGAAGACTTTCTCCATCTATTTCATGGTTATCATTTTCCAGGTTGGTCTCAGAAGTTGTTTCAACTAATGAAGAAACTGTATGCTCTAAGTCGGTTTCCTTTACCAAACTGTTTTCATCTGATAGCACTTCTCTTCTATTTTTTTTTTTATTCTTCTTTACTTGCTTAGTTGTATCCAAGGATAATATTTCCACTGGAATACTTGAGCTTACTTGAGGAGTTTGGAACTCAATACCTTGGCAATCCTGAAGATTCCTTGCACTTTCTTCAAATAACTCTTGTTCCTCTTGGCTAAGTTGAGAGCCACGTTCTAATTCTTCGAGGCAAGCTCTTTCCTCTGAAGTCAGGCAACTTTCTGTATTGCTAGTACTAATGGCTGTTATTTGCATACTTTTTGAAAGTACCGCATCGGCACAAGTTTCAAAAGATTTGTTCCCAATTGTTTTGTTGCTGTTTGATACATTCAGAATGATGCTATCATTAGGTTGAAGTTTTACAGCATTTGAGTGAATACTTGTACTAGAAAGAATTTTAGCACTAGAAGTAGTATTTTCTGTTTCTCTATGTTTTTCAGAAACTAAACTAATAGTACTAACAGGATTGGCAGTAGCAAAATAATTTTTTTTCCTCTTATCATTTCTGTTTTCAAATAATGTTGGTAAAGTATCAATATCTTTTGGCTTTTGGAAAATTGATGAATCACTTAAAATTGGTTCTGTTACTTCCAGTGAATCTTTCTCACAATATGACGGAATGAAATCTAAACTCATAGCACCATTACTACTAGAAAATTTTGACTCCTGCTCCTGTACCGGCAAACTTGCTGACTCGAACATTACATCTTCGCTTGTTTCATTTTTAATTTCGAATGCAACACTTGACAAACTTACATCTGATCGCTGAGATTTTAACCATTCATCCACCTTTTTATCATCAATATATGGTTGATCAAGACGTAATGAATCACTTTCACTGGTCGATGTAAGCACGCTTGGTGGACCACTGATATTAAACACATCGTGATCCCCATCCCGAAAAGGTCCGAGACGCTCTCCTCCGACGAGAGAGGGTGACATCGCCATATCAACCAAGTTCCCGCCATCTTGAAATAGGCATTCTTTATCATGACTCTCACTGCTTTTAAAAGATAACTCTGTATTACATTTATCTAATAAAATAGTATCTTTTTCTATTAAAGAATTAGAACCATGTGACACCTCTAGGCCGTCGCCATGACAAAACCCGGTAATAATCCCTTCGTCAGACATGTGAGTCCCCGTGCTTATATTTGGTGTGGGGTCCTCCATCTTAACAACAAGTCAACCAGATTGTATGAGTACTATGATTGGTTGACTTGCATACAATGAATACAAAGTATGATTTTCCACGAGAGTGCACGTGACCTTGACAATATATATATATATATATATATTGGTAAATCAAATAAATCTCTATGAGCAGTTCTTTTGTTTTTTATTGATAGTTTATTTTGAGAATGTTTATTTTCCTATTCACCACACCCTAAAACTACCAAACACACATTTACTAAATTAATATGTTAGAATAAGATTAATTATGTCATCACTTAATATCTGCAAAAAAGTACGTCCATAATCACGAAGTATCCCATACTTTTCTTCAAATATTTGAACAGAAAACTAATATAAAACTTATTAAGTATCGTTTCACGCTTTAGTAGCTAAATATAGACACTTTTTACTTTAATTATCGCCCTTACTTTTAGATGCGGCCGCTAGGGCAACGATCAATGGTCAGGAGTTGAATATTGTTATGACAGCGGGGGTCACGTGACTCTAGTAACACGTCATATTCTCGTACGTTCACGTCCCTTCCCGAAGTCTCGATAGGCTACTAGATATGCGGTAGTCTTGTATATATAAGCCGTCAAGAAGTGACGGCAACAATGAATGTGTAATTGAACTGCAGACAAAGCGAGACTGGCAATTGAGTCGAACGAGCACGTGAAACGTTTGTTTTGAATTATAGAGTTTGTCATAGCGCGACTGTGGAAATTACGTGTATTGCAAAGTTGTATTCAGAAAGAATAAACCAGTTTTATTTAAGAAAGGACTTGTACTGGTAAAGTTTCTTTGCAAAGTTACAACAACTTCCTAAATGGTAACGTGGGTAAGATTCTGCACTAAACATATGAAAGTAATGACATTATTTTGAAAGCAGAGTTCCATGTCTCACAAAATATGTCAAAAACAAATGAAATATATGCTTGTTGTAAACAAGATGGACTATTTTAAAAGGATGGTGCTCATACATGATGGACAAGGACACTCGTGCAGTCTCGTAGGAGCAGTTCTATGGGAACTTGAACACGCAATAAGAAATAATTATAGCATGTACTGATGAGGCTGCAACATGAAACCAAGGAACTAAAAGAAATATAGAGCTCTCTTCTATTCAGTTCCAGAAGCCAAAAAGTGGTAGGAACGTATTGCCAGAAGATGATGAAAATGTTACGTCTCTGTGTTCGTTTGTTAATTTTCCGTAGAAATTCTTTCCGAAAAAACTTCAGCAATACAAGTCCTTCCTTAAATATAACTAGTTTATTCTTTCTCAATATAACTTTGCAATACACTTAATTGCCACAGTCAGTTTAACTTAAACAAACCCTATAATTCACAACAAATGATTCATGCTCTTGACCCAATTGTCCGTCTCTATCTCTGTCAGCAATTCAATTCCGTTGTTGCCGACACTTCTTACCAGTCTTATATATACAAAAAGCGTACATCTCGTCTCTTCGTGAATCTTCTAGAAATTCATCACAATTCATCACGGGCTACCAGCGTCACGTGACTTCCGCTGTCGTAACCAAAACATACCTAGCACATGTTATATACCATTTTATTTTTCAGATGCATAATATGAAGACGTGGTTACTATGTCATCATCATTGCCACTTTTTAACATTAAAAGTACAACTGTAAACAAATGTTTTAGCTGTAAACCATATACAAATGAAATTGTACGAGAGACTCATGGACAACATGGCTCCTTGATATCTTGTGTAAAATGTTATAATTTTTCAAATACATTTGTGGCCCTGGATCAAGCTAAAGTATACAAACTACAACAACATGCCGGTGATCAAAGTGAAAGTACTTTGTGGAGAGATGCACGAAGATTAATTGTAAGTTCTGTACCCAAAGTTCCAATAAAAGAAACTACAATTGTACAAACTCTTTCATGAATATTTGTACCCCAGATTTGTAGGAAACAAGCATGTGAAGTATGGATTTGAACAAGAGTCGCTTGCAAAAGATTATTTATAATCCACAGGATTAAAAGTTCAGGAAAAGGGAGCATATGTGTTCATACAAGAATATTGGCTATCAGGTAGTCCAAATAGAATAATAAGTTGTGATACCTTGCTCGATATTCAAAGCTTTTTTCCAACAAACTGGTCAAATCTGAATGAGTTTGTCAGAAATGGTAAAAAGATGATATGAAAACTGGAGACGAACAATTTAACTTAAAATTGAAAGGGATTAAGTTTTTTTATTTGCAAATACATTTGACTTTGTTCTGCTCAAGCTTAAAAAATGTAAATTTTTGGTGTGGAAAAGTGCAGATGATAATATTGTTGCGTCAGCGAGGTCACGTGACGCCACCTCTTTCTAGAAATATCCTGTTCCTTCATGAATGCCCTAGCATTTACTAGATATGTGTTAGTCTTGTATATATATATATAAGATAGTCAAAACGTGACGAGGTAATGAGTAATTGAACTGCAGTCAGAGAGTGTGTAATTGAACTGAGTATTGTTGAAGTCGAGCACGTGAGACGTTCGTTGAGAATTATAGCGCGACTGTTGAAATTAAATGTATCACAAAGTTATATTCAGAAAGAATAAACCAGTTTTATTTAAGAAAGGACTTGTGTCGCTAAAGTTTCGTCAGAACGAATTTACGGAAAATTAACTAACGACTGGGGGCGTAACAATATATTCATTGATGTAAAGTGTAATGAGGAATATGTTCAGGATCAAGTTAATAGATTAAGAACATTTTATGTGAAACAAATGATGCACAGAATTGTTGATGAAATAAATGATGATCGCTTAGTTCTAAGCAGTGTTTTGAACTTTCATGCTTTAATGATTCATTAAGTTTGATTGAATCCAATAGTGTGTATAATGAATATTAAGGCACCAAAAGTCTAGAGTTGAAAACCACCTGGTTCCACTTAAGGCATCAAGAGTATCACCAATTCTTGGCAGTGGGTATGAGTCTTTTTCGGTTATACTGTTAAGAGCCCTGAAGTCCATTACAGCAACGTTGGGTCCCATCCCACGTCTGACACCAGTTTGTAGCGTATCTGGTCGTTTGTTAATTTCTGGTATAAATTCTTCCCGAGGAACTTCAGCGATATAAGTCCTTTCTTAAATAAAAGTAGTTTATTCTTTCTCAATACAACTTTGCAATACATAGAATTTCCACAGTCACTTTAACTTAATACGCGCTATAATGCACAACGATTCATGCATTTTACTTATGGTCACTAACACTCGCTTGACTCAATTATCTGTCTCTATATATATATATATATCTGCAATTATTTGCCGAGCTTATATACTAAAATAGAGGGCGCCTGGAAAAGACTAGACTTGCCAGGAAAAGTCATGATCCTTCTAGAAAATCGTGACATGTTACCAGCGTCACGTGACTTCCGCTGTCGTAACACTATTGTTTGTATTCTTGAGCGACTGTCATATCAATCCTTTCTTTTGGGTATTATAGACACAAGATGATCATTTTGTCTCATTTACACCATGAGCCAGCAATCTAAGGTAAGCCTACTAAAAAGGGCTGCAGTTATCCAGGAGGCACATCCAATTGTGATCTGCCAGGTCTGATGTATAATGACTATTAAGAGACCAAAAATAATATCAGTATTGGTGGAAATAAGTCCAAAAGAAAACTGCAAAAAAAGAAAAGAAAAAGATCATTAAGATTACATTAATCAGAGTCAAACAAAGAAGTGGTAAACAAAAAGAAAAACAAAAATGGCAAACAGTACCTGAAGTCTAGAGGGGCAGGGAGATCATGGATTCCAAGAATGTTACACAAAGTGAAAGGAAGGTGACAACTGGAAACAATTTGAAAAAGTCACTGACGAGGTGTAAAATATTGAGGCGAGCCACAGAAAACATAAGGTATGGTCTATGGCAAGTTCAACATAAATGAGAGTCCTGAACCCTAATTGTAAAGAGAGAAGGTAGGCTTGAAACCATGTGAGATGTAAGCGTGTCACGTGTTTCTAATGTCTTTAGTTATATCAGAATAAAAACAACAACAACAACAAATTTGTTTATTTACTTTGCATGCAGATTTAGCATAAACATGTGGTCCAGAAAGTCGTTGAGATTACCTTGTTGTGATTGCTTTGTTTCTTTGTTGTCTATGGTAGATAATGTCTATTCTGCATCAAGAATATATTGCAGTGATATAGTATCCATATCGCAAGGATAATCACTGCGATCTTTTTTACTAGCCGAGTTGATGTTGTCTAAATGGAACAGCCGACTAACACTATGAGAGAACAAAGGTCTTGAGGTGATTCTGAAGACTAGAACAAACAACAACAACAAACGAGTTACCTATTCTATTCAGACACGTTTTCTTCGTTCAGTTCTACTAGTTGATCGTGGAGAGGAGATCATCACATTCAATACAATGGAAGTCAATCGTGAGAAAAAGAAAGCTTCTCTTTGCTTTTGTACTTTATTTTGGCATCAAATAACTAGGTTACAAATCAACTTATTTGCTTTGTGTGACATATCAGTCTACACGTGACTATAGTTATCACCGCCAAACTACAGTGTAACCCACAGTCAGTCATTTTGTCTCACTGTGTAAATAATATTACTCTATTAACTCTGACTCAGTGTACATAAGCAAGAGAGAAAGTTGGGGAGGGGGCATAGGTGGTGGACCATCTGATCAATTATAGCTTTTGCACTTACTCCCTTATTATCGTTATTTCTCTCTCTCTTGGTGTAAAATGTTAAGATATTTGTTTTACCTCGTCATTTCTCTCTATTTTTAGGTGTAAAATAACGCCCCCAGAGACTCAGCGGAAGGAAAGTTGATTTAAGACACTAAAAATCGGGTTTCAGTGCCTGCTGTGGGAAAACATATATAACTCATTATGTAACTTTGTGTTTAACAATAAACCAATGAAAAACTAAGCGTAAAACAGTCCCTCCGGTGCGAAAGCGGTAATGTTACTAACTTACAACGTTAAAATCAGGGT